TCATTCAGCATCAGACGATGTTAGCTAGCTGTGGTTTCTAGGTAGTTGATGGATTTAGAACTTGTAAATCTATTGTCTGTGTTTGTAGCTTAGCATGCTAACGATGAAAGAGTTAAGATGGACAACTTCCACAAACTAAAATTAGGAGATTAAGAGGTTTTTGATACGTAGCTTGGACAGTCCTGTCTCAGCTAATGTTAAGGACAACGCAACAATTTTTTACACATGCAGCAGAGAAACATTCAGGCTGTGTCTAAGTTCAGGGCCTGGATGCTTCGTAGGCCGCAGGTGAAAACCAGTGACGTCAGAGCGTCACGACGTTAACATATCCCATAATTCATTGCCCTACATTGGCTGTGACCATAGACATACTGTGTACCAGGGGTCACCAACCTTTTTGAGACTGAGCTACTTCAGTGGGATCGAATGAGACGAACTGCTACTTGTTTGATACAAACAAATTTGCACTGTTCACCTTTAATTATAGTAAAATACATTTACATGTGTAAATATATGATTGCTCGATCATATCTGTATTATTAAAAATTCCCCACAGTGATTAGCAGTAAATATTTAATGGTAAATATTATCAATTATTATTGATAATTAGTGATTAGAACTCTCAATTTAGAACTTGAGTCCTCGGTTTGAATCCCTTTTTTGGCTCTTCTGTGTGACTGTAAATTGTTCCTAGCTGTGACTGGGAGTGCAAGTGGTTGTTTGTCTCTTTGTCTGTGTCTCTGTGATGGACTGGAGACCTGTCCTGGGTGTCTCTGGGACAGACTGGAGACCTGTCCTGGGTGTCTTCTGCCTTCACCCAAAAGCAGCGGAGATTGGCTCCAGTCCCAAACTAAAGGGACAAAACAGATGATTTACTACAGCAGAAAACATATTTAAACATAAATTATCATTTCTTTTATGTTAATCTCAGTAACATTTGAAATTCAGTGTATTTTATAAATGTTTTATTAACCATTTTGTAGGAATTAACACATTTGTAACATTCATTCAAAACATGCCTTTTACTATTAACAACTTCTGTAACATTTTTAAGAACCTATTAACAATAAAATCTTCCAATCAAGCCCTGTTTGCACTAACTGTTTTGTTTATAACACTTCAGAAAAACTAATTTGTACATACAAATTATCTGTAATGTAAAAAAGCAAACTGACATTTTTAAATGAATCATGAGACATTCATAATGGTCCTCAGATCTGCAGCATTTTTAATAATAATGATAATACTTTTATTTATAAAGCCCTTTTAAATAACCACAGCTGCAACAAAGTGCTGTGTTTATAAAATCCATCCATCCATTATCTTTACCCGCTTATTCCATTTTGGGTCACGGGGGTCGCCGGTGCCCATGTCCAGCAATCACTGTGCGAGTGGGCAGACTGAGCGCGGCTGACCGAAATCAGACTGCCTGCTTTGGACTGAACAAGAGAAACACACCACTGAAGCACAGAACTTGAACGTCCAATGTAAAACAAATTTTTTCGCAGTGTCTGGCTAAACAATCCTTGTGCTCTTTAATGTGGTGCTTTTTCAAATGTTTAAGTTCGATGGTTTTCATAGGTTGCGACCGAGCTTCCTACTATCGATACAGCGGCTCTGCAGACATTGCACATTGCTGTCTTGCGGTGTTTAGTGTAAAATACTTCCACACAACGGACATGTTGCAATGAAAAGTTGGTTAGCCGTTAGCCACAGTGCTGCTCAGGCAGCAGAGCCATATAAAAAGAGTATTTACCATGTTAACCCTCTTTCCTTCATCACCATGTCCATTCAGGTCTGCTCCGATCACCACTGACTCCTCCCTGGGAATATCACTTTATCCAGATATTTCCTAAATGTATCTTTCTCCTCCCCATCGCATCCAACGTGTGGAGCATAACCACTGACGATGTTTAACATCAGACCTTCTACCTTCAGGCACATCACCCTATCTGACACACTTTTTACCTCTACTACATTCTTTGCCAACTTCTCCTTCAGGACCACCCATACTCCATTTCTCTTTTTATTCACACTATGGTAAAACAGTTTCAACCCTGTTCCAATGCTGCGAGCCTTGATGCCCTTTCTCTTGGTCTCTTGGACACACAAAACACCTACCTTCCTTCTCTGCATCATGTCAGCCAGCTCTCTACCTTTACCTGTCATTGTCCCCACATTTAGAGCTGCAACCCTGAGTCTTACATTCTTGACTTTTCCTCTTCTCCTTCTGTCTCCTTACACGTTTCCCTCCTCGTGAAACATTTCTACATTTTTTTTGCTTTGTTTTGTTGTTTGTTTTTTTGAACGTTCAGAGGACCAGATTGAACTTTTTTGGATAATTCAGCTGTGCTTTGCCTATAGGTAGTGCAACATTAACAAAGCAGCAGCGGGGGGGAATTGAGTCACATAACCTCCCGAAATAATAAAAACATATTTTGAAAATTTAAAGCTGGAAAATAAATTTAACAAGTAAAGTTTCAAGTTATGCAAAAATGTTTAAAAATGTTTTATTTTTTGTACTTCTTATGATAAACAGACATTTAATCTTATCTTACTGAATAAAATGTTTCTTTGATTTGCAACAGTTCTTAGTCACAGTACATAAAATATTAACACAAAACTTATAGTTCCAAAAACAGTTAAAAACAAAACAACTGACCTGACTTGACCAGAGTGGCCATTCTGTGAGAGGGACTAACAAATACCCTAACGATCCTCTAATGTGAAGAGTGAGAGATCAATCTGCATGTGTCAATCTGCATTATGCAAGTTCACAGAACATCTCGGCTTTATTACTTCAATCCCACACTCCTCGTTTATTTGAATTGAGAAACTCCTCAGATGAGAAGCAAAACGTCTTCAGTTACAAATAAAGTCCAGTTGTTTTGTTTTTAACTTTTTTGAGATTTACCATGTCCTGGATGACCAAGAATCTTCACCAGCATTAAACTTATAGTTGTCCATTTTGTCTATTTTTCAGTGTTTCCTGCAGATGTTCAGCAGACTCTGCTGATCAGAGTAGATGCTCCTGAGGAATGGAGGCCTGGTGTGGACCAGCAGGATCCAGAGCCCCTCGACATAAAGGAGAAACAAGAAGTCTGGACCAGATTGGACGGAAAGCAACTCGTAGTGAAGGAGACTGATGCCAGCAGGTTTTCATTCACTGCAGTTCATGTGAAGAGTGAGGATGATGAAGAGAAGCCTCTGTTTTTACAGTTTCATCAGCACCAAACTGAGGGCAGAGATGTTCCATCCAACAGCTCAGATGACCAGATGAAAGTAGAATCTGATGAAGAGGACTGTGGAGGAGAAGGAATTAGCAGGAACCCTTATCTTTGTCCTCATGGAGATGCTTCCAGCTCTTCAGAAACTGAAGCCAGTGAGGGTGATGAAGAGGAAGAGGATTGGAACAATCCCAGCTCTCAGCTAGAGCACTTGTCAGACTCTGGGTCAACAACTGAAGACCGTGACAAAGACTGGAAGGAGAGCAGGCCTCCTGAGTCAGCTGTAAACTCTCTCAACAAATGTCTCGGCAACAATGTTTCATATGTTTCTGAGTATGGCAAACAATTTCTGCACAACCAGTCTCTTCAGAAACACATAACATGTCCTTCAGCAGGAAGACATTCAAGCTATTTGGGTCAGAAGAAAAGTGTTGGAGAGAAGAACAGTGTAAATACACACACGAAAGTCCAGACGGGACCAAAATCATTTAGTTTGGATGAACCTGGTAAAAGTTTTAACATACTAAGTAATTTAAACATGCACATAGGAGACCACATGGTAGAGAAACCATTTGAATGTGAGTTCTGTGAAAAAAAATTTAAACTCAAGAGAAGTTTAAACTTGCATAAGAGAGTTCATACAGGAGAGAAACCATTTGAATGTGAGTTTTGTGGAAAAAGATTTAACCATAAGACGAATTTAAAGTTGCACAGGAGAGTTCATACAGGAGAGAAACCGTTTGAATGTGAGATTTGTGGGTATAGATTTAGCCGTAAGCCAACTTTATACAAACACATGAGAGTCCACACAGGACAGAAACCATTTATATGCGAGTTTTGTGGACGAAGTTTTAGCCAGAAACCAACTTTAAATGCTCATTTAAGACTCCACACAGGACAGAAACCGTTTGCATGCGAGTTTTGTGGACGATGTTTTAGCCAGAAACCAACTTTAAATGCACACACAAGACTCCACACTGGACAGAAACCCTTTAAATGTAAGGATTGTGGAACCAGATTTCTCCAGAAGTCAAGTTTAAACTCGCACAGTAAAGTCCACACAGGACAGAAACCATATGAATGTAATATTTGTGGACAAAAATTTAGCCATAAGACAAGTTTAAAGATACACATGATAGTCCACACAGGACAGAAACCATTTGAATGCAATATTTGTGGACGAAGATTTAGCCAAAAGTCAGGTTTAAACTTACACATGAGAGTCCACACAGGACAGAAACCATTTGAATGTGAGGTTTGTGGACAAAGATTTAGCGATAAGTCAAATCTGAAAACGCATTTGAGAATCCACACAGGACAGAAACCATATGAATGTAAGGACTGTGGAAAAAGATTTAGCCAGAAGTCAACTTTGAACTCACACTTGACTGTCCACACAATAGGGAAAGGGTACACAGGAGAGAAAATGTATGAATGTGAGGATTGTGGACAAAGATTTAGACACAAGTCTTATTTAAACATGCACATGACAATCCACACAGGAGAGAAACCTTTCAAATGTGAGCTTTGTGGGCAAAGTTTTCGCCTGAAGTGTATTTTAAAAAGCCATATGAGTGTCCACACGGACCAGAAACCATTTGAATGTGAGGAATGTGGTCAAAAATTTAGCCGTAAGTGTAATTTAACCAGGCACACAAAAGTCCACAGGAAATAACTCCCCTTCTGTGACTGAGGTCAAAGTTTGGACTTCAGTCAACTCTTAAACACACAAGAACCCACACAGGAGGGAATACAGTTTAACTCAGTAGTTCTCAAACTGTGTTCTGTGCCCCCCTGTGGGGCCCCATTGCTTTGGTCGGGGTTTGGGGTTTACTTTGATGGGGAGGAGGGGTCTGATATGATGATTTTGTCTTTCATACCCATCACTGCATCCTGTATTCACTGGTTAACTGGACATCATTAACTTCACACACTCTCCCACTGGTACATTTTCATTGTTAAGTCATTTCTTGGTCTGCTGCCTTCATACAGCTACATGTCTCTGAGTTAGTGCAGCTACAGCGTGCGCTCTCAGGACATTATTACCTACAGTGTTCCCTCAGTGAGGACTGAACTAGGCAAAAGGGCCTTCTACTCCGCTTCTGTTTTCTGGAATATCTTGCAAAAAGATCTGAAGCTCTCGACCTTGACCTCTCTAAGTGGCTTCAAACATCTGTTGAGTTCCTGGCAAGAACCAATGCAGACATGTTCCTGTTTTTAGTTTTTTACATCGCCTTGCAATCTAGCTGGTTTTTTTTTGCTACTTTTTCCTTTTGATTATCCTATTGGTTGCCATTTTAATTTGTAAAAAAAATAAAAATTTGTATGCCTCTTTTATAATTGTCTATTGTTGTTGTTTATCCACTGTTGTCATCACTCTTTGTTAAAGAAATTGGGTCTCTCTTATAAATGAGTCCCTGGGGCTCAGTGGGATTAACCTGTATAATTAAAGGTTGAATTGTCTACTTTGCCTTTATTATTACTAATCATTCTGTTAATTAATGTTAAGTATTTTTAACTACAGTCAAGTACACAATTTATTTTTAAATATAACAACCCTCATAATGTCTTATTGCCATTATAACTTGTTTCTGTATGCACAATGAACGAGAGTGGACTGTAAATTATATCTGTGTGTTGTATATGAGGAAAATTGACTTGCTATATATTCAATAGGCTAGTTTACAAAAAAGTTATAGAACAAGTTAAATTTGTGTACTTTCAGAGCTAACTACTTGAAAATCAGTAAAAGTAATTGTTTTTACTCAGTTTTTCATACGTTTATTTTATTTTTTAGTTCTCAGAACAAAGTTTTTCCTTTCTCACAACACAAACAGACCTTCAGGAGAAAGATGATCAGATGATTTGTTACAAGAAAAGCAAAGTAATAATTGCTGGTTTTCGTATCATTCACATTGTTTTGTTCTGTTTGTGTGACAGATGTGGATTTTCAAAGAAATGCTCAGAAATAAAATCAGCATTAAACTTGAATATATTAATGTAATAGTAGTTACATGTCGTGTTATTAGTTGATGTGTTCTGACTAAAATGTTCAGGTTATGGAATATAACGTATTTTTGTCCTTATAAAATAAAAATGTAAAATTAATTGAATGTGTTCATTTTAGATTTCTTTTTAAGATTCTTTTGTTTGTTTTTAAAAGTTTAAATGGTCTTGCCCCGTACCTCTCTGAGCTGCTTCACCCATACTCTCCTGCTTGGTGCCTTAGATCAGCTGATTAGTGCCCAGGTCCAAACGGAAGCTCAGACGGGACAGAACTTTTTCTGTTGCTGCTCCAAGACTGTGGAACGATCTCCCTCTTGTCAGCAGACGAGCCCCTTAACTGCCCATTTTTAAAACTCTTTTAAAAACACATTTTTACTCCCTGGCTTTTGAATTTGCACTGTTTTTATTGTTTTGATTGATCTTAATGTTTTAACAACTTTTATTTTTAATATGTTAAAATGTTCTTGATATTATGTGTACAGCACTTTGTTGCAGCTGTAGTTGTTTTAAAGTGCTTCATAAATAAAGTATTATTATTATAAATGTGTTTCTCTCGTCCTTGTGATTTGACGGAGCAGTCTTTTAAATGTCAGGAGATCGAACAACACCTGGGAGGAGAGCAGCAGGTGTCACATTATGTGGTCCAGATAGACCAGGGACTAACAGATCCATGTGACTCAGTCTCAGTTCTTCCTCCCCATCCCGATCACCTTCCTCCGCCCGATCCATCACACTACCACTCACAGGGCCTTGAGATGCAGGTGCACTATTGAGCTGCAGAGAAGATCCTCCATCTCCATGGTCACGTGGAAACCTGGGCCCCAATTTTATTGTACAATTTAAGGCTCCCACAGACTCTTGTGGACTTCAGTCCATGGAGGTCTGCGCGTACTGGATTAGACTCGAAGCAGACACCCTTAGGGCATGTTCGCGCAAAGATACATTTTTACGCTTGTGTATGCGTACTTGGGCAGCACGGTGGCATAACTGGTAGAGCTGCTGCCTCTCAGTGAGTAGGTCCCTGGTTCAAATCCCACCCGGTCTGGGGACCTTTCTGGGTGGAGTTTGCATGTTCTCTCCGTGCATGTGTGGGTTTTCTCCGGGTACTCCAGTTCCTCCCACAGACCAAAAACATGCATGTTAGACTGATTGGTGACTAAATTGTCCCTAGGTGTGAGTGAATATTTGTCTCTATGTGTCCCTGTGATGGACTGGAGACCTGTCCAGGGTGTACCCCGCCCCTCGCACAGTGATTGCTGTACATGGGCACCGGCGACCCCCGTGACCCAAAATGGAAAAAGTGGGTAAAAGATAATGGATGTATGTACGCGTACTTGGTATCGATATTTTTTTTAAAATCAAGATTTATTTTTTTTTGCGATATAAGATGAGACTTTATCAATACAAAACTATATAGTGTTATACTTGAAAATCCTTCTGCTGTCTTCTTTCCCCCATGCGGCCCCCTCCTTCTACCTTCTTGAATTCAAACCCAGCCCGTCAGCCGCACTCTCCCAGCTCCCTGCTTCTTCTCCAGGAGGCGGGCGGGAGATGTTTAGCACAACAAGTAAACATGGAAGATATATGAAGAGCAGCTTAGCAGCTGAACGAAAAGAAAAACAATGGCAGTTCTTTCGTAGATGGTTTAGATTTAAATTATCAGATGAGGGGCAGAAAAATAATTTATGTAGACAATGCTGAAAACATGTCCCAACAAAAGGTCGGAACTAGGAATCTTTTCCACCATTTAAAACAGCAGAGTGGAATATGAAGCGTGTGTGAAGCTGCAGCTGCAGGTCCGACAACAAACCACGGATCAGAACTCATTTAGCCGTGCTGTGCCTTATGAGAGGAGCAGTGAGAGTGCGACTTTAATAAATAAGTTGTTTATCACATGGCTAAAGACACGGTCCTTAGCAGCTAACGAGACAGCTAACTCTTTAGTGATATGAGAAGCTGCTGATTTATTAATGTCACGGCGCCACCTCTCAGTTTTCTCTCATAAGGCACAGCACGGCTCAATGAGTTTCATACTGTGGTTTGTTTCAGGGAAGGAGGCTGAAATCTGTCAGACATGCAGCTGTAGTTCACACATGCTTACTAACGTTGTGAAGGTGGTGCAGCTGAACGGACTGTACATATATACAGTAGCGCCTCCCTATCTTATCCAGACGCTCAAAGCTCTACAACAATCTGTGCCTTCATCTATCCATTCATACAGCACTCTACTAGATCTATACAAAGACTAATCAGAGCTTTATCACATTCATACACCAATGGGACACACACTGGAGGCAATGAGGGGTTCAGTGTCTTGCCCAGGGACACTTCAGCATGTGACTGCTGGTGGAATTGAACCTCCAGCTGTCCAGTTGGAGGATGACTGCTCTAGCCTCTCAGCCACAGCTGCCCCCAGCTGAAGAGGATTATTATTTAATATACAATATGTAAATAAATGTCTAAAAAAAATAAACGATTTAATATATGTAAATAATTTATTTTTTAGACATTTATTTTGTACAGTTACAGCTGTTTACTATATGTATGTGTGACAGTTGGGACAGCTTTGACTCTGAAATATATTTTTGTTATTTATGAAAGAAAAAAAATTGATATATATATATTGTATATCGCGATTTATCAAGATATTCATTTTTGTTCATATCGCCCACCCCTAGATCAGATCCAGAGAAGCTGATTGAGCAGGTGAAATGTCTTTCATGCACAACTGTCCTTTTCTGATATTAAAATGTGAAATCTAAATACTAGTAATGTTCTTTATGGTCAACAGAGGAAGACTGTGGAGATGATGGGGTCACCATACAGTCTGAGGAAAGGCCTGAGAATGAGGGAGTGGAGGATGAGGAGGAGAGTGTATGATAGCTGAAATTATATAGATTCTCAATCTTAATAATGAGCATGCCTTTAATAATCCCTTTTTACTGATAATACTGATGAACCTGTTGTTTGTTTAGGAGCCGCCTTCCTGCAATCTGTCCAGAAAGTCTCTACCGGAGGAGCTTTTTGCTGAGGAAGAGGCACAGAACTTAATGTCACAGCTCCATGTCCATGAAGAAACAAGTGGAGAGAGGCTGCAGAGGGACCAGGACATTCCACCAACCATTATGTCTGAGGACCTGCTGCTGGTGGTGGAACCAACACAAGACATCTTTTGTTGTCAGTCAAGCTTCTGCTACACCCAGCAAACGTGTTCTCCACCACAAGAGACACCGTCTGTCCAGAATGCTCACACATACTGACTGAGAAGCAGATATGATCATTTTCCTCAACAAGAACAGTTTTTGATTTTATTCTGTACCTGCTGCTAATCTGGACTGGACTGTACAAGTTGTTCCTTTTTCTTAGATATTCTGCAGCAGGTCGGCCCGTCAGTGGGAGCTCCGTCACATGGCTGCAGCATCGCACACTGGACATGTGGAAATGTGTTTCCATGAGGTTTTCAAACATAAAGCTCTCTCGTGAAAGTGTACCCCTGTGAAAAGAAAATTCATAACATTTATATTAAAGTTCATAAGTTTGATATTTATATACTGGTTGAACTGTGAGAAATTCATAGTAAAGTTAATAAAAAGTAAAAAGTTCATAGAATTAAAATTCAAATAGAAGTTCAAATTATTTTATCCAGAAAGAACTCTGGTTAGGTCATGTGAACTGTTTTTAACCCCTCCTCTAAAAAGAACCGGAACCGGAATCAAAACGAGGAATCAGAACCGGAATCCTTCAAATTCAAACGATGCTGATTACTCCCAGCTGACACCACTCCCTTGATGAGAAGACTCAAGTATCAAAGTTCATGCTCAATAATCCAGGTAAAGTTCAGTCAGGTCCTTTGGATGGTTTTTTTTTTGTTGTTGTTGAAACGTTTTGTCCTCATCCAAAGGACTTCATCAGTCTGAGGAGCCACAACAAACTCAGTCCCACAAGCACCAGGAAAGACCCAGGACACGTCTACGTCTTTTGGTTGGCTTGCGAACGCCTTGGGGTCCTCCCAGAAGAGCTGGAAGAGGTGGCCGTGGAAAGAGCTGTCCAGGCCTCCCTGCTCAAGCTGCTGCCCCTGCGACCCCACCTCAGAATACGCTGAAGATGATGGATGGATGGAAAAGAGTTTTTAAATCTCACGGGCTGGTCCGGCTGGATAAAGATCCCTCCTCTTCATCAACAAGATCTTAAAGAAGTTCAGATGCAACATCAGGAGACTTGTCCAACTCCTCCAGACAGCAGTTTTTATTTTCCTGTTAATAATATTTTAAAGGTTTTAATTCATCATTGGCAGATAATTGTTCACATGATTTGTTGTGTTTCTTGAGATTCAAGGTCCACCCTGGTCTACCCCACCTAAAGAAAGAACAAACTTTTATTTCTGTGACTTTGGGAACTGCATTTAAAAACTGGTTTATGTTAAAGTAAATGTTTGAACCTTCTGGCTTTCACAATACAACGATCCAGAAATGTCAGATAAGCCACGTCTTGTTTATTTTTGCACAATTTGAGTGTGGAGGAGGATTACAAACACACGTAGAGTTCTTCAGCGTAACTGAAAACCAAACTGAGCTCAGATTCATTGCTTCCGCGACAGTCTGATCATCAGGGTTCTTGTCATTCACGTCACATGTGGTACATGAGGCGGAACAAAATTGTGTACTCAAGGTCCCAGTTACACCCAAAAATATCAAAAATATAAAGTATAAAAAAAGAAACAGTATACAAGGATCTGAGATATACACTAAACAATAATAATGTAATATAATACGGTGTATTAAACAGCAGCCTGAACATGAGTCTGTTGTGAGCAGACGGTTATGAATATGAATCATCCTGAACAGAAACAAATCAAAACTAAGCTGCAAAGTCAGATCAGTTTGTATAAAAATTCATAAAGGGACAGAGGATAAATATGATCCCAAACCAGAACTCCCTCACATCAAGAAGTCTGTTGTTCAGCGCAGGAAACAGCAGTTTGGAGGCAGCGAGAGCAAAACATACATGGCAACTTTAACAGAGTGAGGAATTCTGGGAGATGAAGAGCAACAAATAATCAATCAGCAGCTGCACTAACTTTGATATTTGCTGTTGGAACGCAACAGAGAACTCCATTTTTTCTGTTTAACAGAGATGCTGACTAATTTTTAATTCACACTTTAGATGAGAAACAATTTAAGCACAGATTTGGTTTTATGAGCTTTTTTTTTTTTATGGCAACTGGCAGTGCAACAAAATCCATCCAGTCAGTCGTCTGTTTCCTGTGACGTGTTGAAACATTTTATTTTATTTTTTAATTTGACACAGTTTTGGGGAGTGGTGGTGCAGAGGCTAAAGAAGATGGGCCTGTGATCAGAAAGTCGCTGGTTCAACTCCGACTGACATCAAAATGTGTGTGGAAAAGGTGAAACACCCACACCTGCCTCCATCCTCATTTGCTCCACCCTGTGCCCTTGAGCAAGGCCCTTAACCCCCACCATCTGCTGGTCTCTCCTGAAAACGAGTTCTCGTAATGAGACTACCTGTATAAGTAAAGGGTAAAAAAAAAGACCAGAAACGTTTTTAATTTTCATTCAGCAGCTTTCTCGTTGGGCAGTAATTCACAACGCAGCATGTAAAACAATGCAGGAGGAATGACTAATATTTATTTTTCTCCGTGCAACATGGGACGGTGACGTTAAGACGGAGGCCCTGGGATGAGCTCGTCGCCCCTCTGGACCACCACCATGTTACTGCCTTGCTCTGAGCCAAAGCAGCACCAGACACACGTTCACTGCAGAAACTCATCCAGTCATAAAAATCAAAGCCTTTTCTAAATATCTACATGAACCGTTTCGGTTCTGTAAAAGCAGAATGATCATCTGAATCAATAAATATCTGCTCAGCATGTTTTATCCTCATAATACAACAGAAAATAGATATTTTACACTGAGCTCCAGTTTTTTTAATTTTATTTGACAGGAACAATCTCAAAACAAAGGTTGAATAAAATCTCGAACCTGCACTTGTATCAACAAAGACATGTAGTTTGTGTAAAATTAAACATGTTGCAGTGAGTTTGTTCAACAATTTATTAAACCAACAACTGGTCTCTTTATGGTGTCTCACAAAATGCTTTTATTATTTTAAACCACTTCATGAACACGTTTACTCTGACTTTATGCTGTGTTAGAAAAATGTAGATTAATTGACTTCCCTTTTACATTATTAATTTAAACATGACAAGAGCTAAACTAAGCTTCAACTTGATTACTTTGTTCATTATTCTGTGTCAAAGTTCCTTATTTAAACATCTGAATTTTCATGCTTTAGATCAATTTCCATCAAACTCATTTTGTTCATGAAACAGTACATTTCTCAATAGTAGACTGAAATCTCCAAGAACCTCTAAACATTTAAAAAATAAATTTAATTCTGTAGACTTATTTGTGTACAACAACCTGATATTTTACATTTATGGTACAAATTATATTTTGTCCTTGTTTTATTTTCTGTCATTTTCTTTGTCTTGTCAGATTTTACATATATATGCCATGTTTTATGATGCTATTGTGTTTTTGTTTTTTTGGTGGGGGGATTAATTGATGCATTTATCCTAAATTAAAGACAAACTATATAAATAAACTGGCATCAGAACCGTCGTTTTCTTTCCTTCTGTTCACAATGGACGATCCTTTATCTCCATCTGGTGGTGAAAATAAAACAGTTCACCGACAACACAAACTGCTGGTTTTCGCCACAAAAACACTTAGAAAGGAAAAAAGTACTGAGGTTAAAAAAAGTCTGGGGTGAAGTTAGTTTCAGGTCAGATATTCAAGATGATTTCTTGGTGGATTCAGAGGTTTCTTCATGTCGTTTCACCTGAGAACTGTTGTACTGTTCATTTAAAACTCATCCATCCATCATCTTCAGTGCAGCAGTCACTGAGATGTTTTGAAAACATCTGTTGAACGTGCACGATGTGTTTTTATCTGCTCTGGTAGAAAGGGGGTTAAAGTAATGTGCATTTAGAAAAAATGCTCTCCTTGCTCCATGTACCTGACTCCACCTGCAGGTGGATCACAGACTTCCTGACAGACCGGAGTCAGTGCGTGCGGCTGGGGAGAGCTGTCTCGGACACTCGGACTGTAAGCACAGGATCTCCACAGGGCTGTGTGCTTTCCCCCCTGCTTTTCTCCCTGTACACCAACAGCTGCACCTCCAGCCATGACTCTGTGAAACTTATTAAGTGTGCAGATGACACCACCCTCATCGGGCTCATCTCGGACGGTGATGAGTCTGCATACAGGAGGGAGGTGGACCGGCTGGTGACCTGGTGCAGCAGCAACAACCTGGAACTCAATGCCCAGAAGACAGTGGAGATGATTGTGGACTTCAGGAAAGCCACAGCCCCTCTGCCCCCCCCTCACCTGTAAGGATACCCCCATCACCACTGCAAACTCTTATTGGTTCCTCGGCACCACCATCACCCAGGACCTCAAGTGGGAGCCGACCATCAGCTCCCTCATCAAGAAGGCCCAGCAGAGACTGTACTTCCTGCGACAGCTGAAGAAGGCCAAGCTGCCGGCCAAGCTGATGGTGCAGTTCTACACGGCCATCATCGAGTCCATCCTCAGCTCCTCCATCACGGTGTGGTACGCCGGGGCCACTGCCAGGGACAGACTGAGACTGCAGCGCGTTGTGCGCTCAGCTGAGGTGATCGGCTGCAGCCTTCCATCCCGCCACGACCTGTACGTCTCCAGGACTGTGAGGCGAGCAGGTCGGATCACAGCTGACCCTGCTCACCCTGCACACGGACTGTTTGAACCACTCCCCTCAGGCAGGAGGCTTCGGTCCATGCGGACCAGAACCTCCCGCCATAAGAACAGTTTCTTCCCCTCTGCTGTTGGACTCCTGAACACTCATAATGCTACCTCATAATGTCTGCTTTGGTCACATTACATCTGTATTATAACTGAATACTCCATCTGTACTGTTCTCTAAGCTTTTTCATTGTTTTCTATTGTATGGGTGTACATATGGTTATGTTATGTTTTTAATTTTACTTTATTTGTGAGTGTACACAGGTCTTATGTCTTATGTAATGTTCTCATTTTTACTCCATTTTTACTTTATTTTTACTTTATTACTATTCGCACCTTATGTCGAAGCAAATTCCTAGTTTGTGAACCTCGTTCATTGACATGGCGATAATAAACTGATTCTGATTCTGAAAAGGAGGGGCACGTTGGGTTAAAAAGATGGTGGACTTTATTACGTTAGATTAAAACAAACATTTTTATGAAAATATTATAAAACTGTGATGCAGGAAAAATATGGTCAAACTGGCTGTGTCTTAATAACCAGTGTAATAAAACGGTTTGTTCAGAAGATCACGTGACATGTGGGTTATTCTTGTTTTTCTTGTTTCACTCGTTCTGTAATTTGTTGACGGTCCCTAACAGAACCACTGTGTTCAGGAGGAGGGAGCGCGCGGAGGAGTTCTGACGGTAATCCCGCTGCCAGCAGCGGGTGAAACGGGTCGAAGACACCGCTGAATCCACGGAGCGAATGTGTCCAAGATCCAACCTAGAACTAAGTTCACCGAGGAGTAAAACCGTGGAGACAGCGGGTCCAACAGACTGGAGGAAGCTGCGGAGAAACATCGGGTCTTTTTGAAGGAATAATCTCAGATTACGAAGAGGAACTGTCGAGTTGGAGAGAAAATGAGTTCAGGTTTGTTTGTTTCATTCAGCATCAGACGATGTTAGCTAGCTGTGGTTTCTAGGTAGTTGATGGATTTAACTAACAAGAACTTTTAAATCTATTGTCTGTGTGTAGCTTAGCATGCTAACAGAAGAAAGAGTTCAAATGAACAGCTTCCACAAAGTAAAATAAGGAGATTAAGAGGCGGGAGGCTGTTGTTAATACTTAGTTTGGACCCAACTCTTGTTAAGGACAACAAACAGTTTTACACGTAGCAGAGAAACATATTCAGGCTGTGTCTAAGTTCAGGGCCTGTTTCTGCTCAGTAGGCCGCAGGTGAAACCAGTGACGTCAGAGCGTGATGACGTTCACGTTCTTTCAACCTTTATACAGGTTGAGCCTCGAGGACTCGTTTACAAGAGAGCCCTGTTTTAAAAAAGAACACGAGGTACAGACAACAATAAACAGCCATATAAAAAGTATATAAAATGAAAAGTAAATAGAAGAAATAATATTTTTTTTAAAAGCTGCATAAAGTGATGTAAAATACTAAAAACAGGAAACCAAAAAAGTTTAATAAAATCTGGTCCTTTGGACATTCAAAAAAACTAAACCAAACAAAAAAAAATTGTAGAAGCGTTTCATCTCATCCGAAAGACTTCTTTTTCAACATCATCAGGCCAGGACTCTGCGGTCTACACTCATCTCCAGGCCAGCGGTCACTCTTTCAGGGATGAAGATGTTCACATCCTGGACAGAGAGGAACGATGGTTTGAGAGAGGAGTAAAGGAGGCCATCTTTGTGAAAAGAAACCGTCCATCATTAAACAGGGGTGGAGCCTCCGTGTTCAACTGTCCCCCTCTTACAATGCTGTGATTGCTAGTATCACTCAGCCCTCTGTGAACAGTAAACAGCCATCAGTGTGCTAATGACCCATTGTTAGGCTGATGGTCCTTCTTGAGCATGTGATCAGCTGGTTCTGGTTGTCAGCAGCAAAACTGGTTGATCCACTCTGAGAAGGTGCTATTTAAGAGACTGAGCTGAAAACAGCACCTCAGACTGAGGAAGTCTTTTGGATGAAAGATGAAACGTTTCTACAATTTTTTGTTTTGTTTTGTTTTTTTGAATGTCCTGAGGACCAGATTTAACTTTGTAGGATTTTTTTTTTTTTACCTGGATTATTGAGCATGCATCAGGATAAAAACAGGAACATGTCTGCATTAGTTTTTGCCATGAACTTAGCAGTTATTGAAAATCCCTTAGTGAGGTCAAGGTTGAGAGCTTCAGATCTTTTTGCAAGGTGTTCCAGGAAATGGGAGCGGAGTAGGAGAAGGCCCTTTTGTCTAATTCAGTCCTCACTGAGGGAACACTGCAGGTAATAATGTCCACGCTGTAGCTGCACTTGTGCAGTGACATGGAGGAGATGTATGAAGGCAGCAGACCAAGAAGTAATTTAAAGATGAATGTGTACCAGTGGGAGAGTGCGTGAATTTAATGATGTCCAGTTAACCAGTGAATACAGGGTGCAGTGGTGGGTACGGTAGTTACAGCCAGTTATGAACAGGCCTGTCACAATAAACAACAAATCAATTATAGCATGATAAATGAAAATGATCAAACTCGTTTTCATTTATCGGCTTCATCGTTTCTTCGTGTCTCTTTCTACTGAAGACCCTGGATGACAAAAAGCTCAATTCCGGTGCTCTTCACTGACTCCCTTTGTCTTTAAAATCCCTTTTTAACAGTCCAAAATTGTGTTTTTGGATCGTTAAAAGCAGGTAAGCTGAGAAGCTAAGCTACGAGCTAAGATAACAGGCCGACCTCGGGGGGGGGGGGACACCATCTTGTCGAAGCTCCAAAATTCACGGATGAAACCTGTGCCTTTGTGTAAAAAGTTTTTCTCTGCAAAAAGAAGCTGAGAACTGGTGTACTGTTTTTTATTTATTTATTTATTATTAAGAGCTCAAACCACACCGAGTGTCCGCCATTTTGAGAACTGGAAAAAATGGATGGAGAGACAGCCCATGTCACGTCAAGGGGCCTCACTCCCATTTTTCTTAAAGAGGCACGCTGCTTTCTCCCTCACTATCCATCCTTCGGTTCAAACTGTCTTAATATGCCATCCAGTGGTCAAAAAAGGTACTACACACAAAATAAAATTAATGAAATTTCTTCTTAAATTTGTCAATAATTACTAATTATTGTCAAATTTCTTGGGTGGGACCGTTTACCTGCTGAGTTAAATTAAGAGTCCAATAAATCTAGAAAGTCCTTCACTAAGGGCTTCTCCTGGCAACACACACGCAAATTAAAGTCACCAATAAACAAAAAGTGAGTATCTCTGTGTGATATCAGCCAAAAATTCAGAGAATTCATTTATGAAGTCCTTGGATCGAGGGGGGCGGTAGACAAGTGCGCACAGAACCGGAGGAGAGTGTCTAATGAGTTCAAAGACGCTTAGCTCAAAGCTGGCGCGGGACACTGGGATGGACAACTGTTTACAGGCCAAGTTTGCTTTAAAAACTGTTAATAATCCCCATCCCCCCCCCCCCCCCGCGCCGACCTGATGGCCGCGGGGCATTAAAACACAGACAGTCCGGAGGTAGTAATTCCACCAAGGTGCTGGACTCACCATCAGAAATCCAAGATTCCGTGACAAACAGAAAATCCAACTCCTCATCTTTAAAAAAGTCATTGAGGATAAACGTCTTGTTGGAAACAGACCTTGCGTTGATTAAACACATCCTGATAGGGTCCAACGCAGACACAGCCGTGGAAGGAGAAGCGCGCGCCAGTGGGCGCAGGTTATGAAGAACATTATGAAGAACAGCTCCTCCTGGTCTGCTGGTGCGGCGCACAGGTAAACAACTCCAGGTGTTTACATGGACTGAGCGCGCGGGCAGCTGGCCAGCAGCCGGGCCCCCGGAGCACCACGGGTCAGAGAGGAGATGATCAGATCCAGAGCGAGTCCTGATAGAATAATCCACACTTTGCCTCAGTTTCACCAAAATCCCTGCACGCTTCCCACGACGTCTGCGACGTTTCCTCCATGGAGAAAGGCCAGGGTCACGCAGAAGGAATGCAGGAATCTCAGACAGGACCGGTGGAGGAGAGTGCTGGCCGGTGTTCAAAAACTCCGCAGGCATTTCAGCAAATGTACGGAGCTCCAAAAGTGCCCGACAATCATACTGAAAATATGACTCGGCACACTGCACCAACCATTGTAAAAATAACAAAAATACAATACAAGCAGAGAGCGAGAGACGGGCAGCCCTACACACCGGCGCCATCTTTATAGTTTATCAATATGGGGACTTTTTTGTTTGTGAGGACACAAAGAAAAAGAAAAAAATGTGTTTATGTGTTGTTAATAAAAAGTTCTTAAAAAAAAAAAGGATCACTGGCACTGCAGGCCACGCATCAGATTAGCCCACTGAGAAATCTCCAGACTCTTACGCAGCCACGCCGGGCCCTATTTTAATTGTCTCGTGACAAATTCCTTCATTTCTCACAATTTCAGTCATGGCTTCAAGTCAACAGACAAGGAGGTCTTAAGAGATTGCTTGTCTCTTGGCCAAAAAACTAAAGAAAAAGCCATTAAACCAGATCAGGGATGAAGAAGGGGAATTTAATACATTGGTGTCGCATACAAAACAGTCCGTCGCCGGGCAGTTTATTGTGCGACACTGAGTATGTGTATGCGGTCATAAAAGCTGATCTTTGCACGACATGGCTTGCAGGCATCTGCGTCGAACCTGCGTTGAGTCTAATCCGGTACGCGCGGACCTCTGCAGAGTGAAGTATGCCTAATTATGTGAGAGCCTTAACAAGACGGCTAACGCTTTAGCCATCTTGTTCCACAGCTGAGACTGGCACTGTGCCTTTAGCGATATAAGCTGCTGCTTTATTAATGGCACCTCTCACTTTTCCTCTCATAAGGCACAGCATGGCTAAATGAGTTTTATACCGTGGTTTGTTTCAGGAAAGGAGGTTGAAGTTTGTCGAAGCTGCAGCTTCACACATGCTTACTAACGTTGTGATGGCAGCGCAGCTGAAGATCATTATTATTATTATTATATGTAAATAAAGATCTGAAAAATAAAGTATTTAATATATGTAAATAGTTTATTTTTTAGACATTTATTTTGTAGTTACAACTGTGATTAATAAATGTGCCTGCATGACAATTGGGACAAAGCTTTGACTCAAATATATTTTTGTTATTACTTTCATGGAAAGAAGAAAATATCAAGATTAGGGCTGGGCCATAGCATATCGGTCATGATAATACCAGTTAAAAAAAACTTGCCCAGGATAATAAATTATATTATGATATGCTAATTAATTTCATGACGTAAATACGTCAGTGTTTCCCCTACCATTATACAAGCGGGGCACCCTGTCCCATTAACAGAACCGGTGCGCCAAACTATTGAACCAAACTGTACCCCCCCCACACACACACACACACACACCTCTGTCTGTACGCGTAACACACTGTTAGCCGTGCGCAATACTAGCTAGCTAAAAAGCTAAAAACAACACGCGGCTCGGCTGTGTCTCCCCCCCACTCTTCCGATATAAACCATTCACGGCTCAGCTGTGTCTCCCCCCCCACCCCCAACCCCCCTTCTGAAGGTCCTCCTTACAGAAGTCATGTAAGGTCTGATATCATGCTGAGGAACTTCTCTTCAGATCGTGAGGTGAGTCTGATGCTGGGTAGTTTATTTGGGTCTTCAAAGCAGACATAGAACCTTTTAAGAGCATCAGGCAGTGAGGGGTCTCTAGGGCATTGGGCACCGCTGATGTTATAGTCTGTGATGCACTTAATGCCCTTCCACATTCTCCGTGGTTCCTGCGGGGAGAAATTTCTATGAATCTTATGTGCATATGTGACCTTGGCCCTCTTAATACCAGCAGTCAGCTCTCTTCTAGCCTTCCCAAGTTCCTGTGAGTCGCCAGATCTGAAGACAGCATCCTTGGCTTTCAGAGTACGGACCCCTGAATTCAGCCAGGGTTTCTGGTTCAGGTAGCATATCACATTCCTGGTGGTGGTGACATCTTCAATGCACTTGCTGATATATCCGAGGACAACATACAGTATGTGTAATCCTCCAGATCCAGTTCCCCCTCATTTACAGCAGCCTCCCTGAAGTTGTGCCAGTCTGTTCAAGCAAAACAGTCCTGCAGTGCAGTCACCATCACTGGGTCACACCGTGATGGTCTTCTGTGTAGGTTTAGAACAGTTGTCTGCAACCTGCGGCTCTGGAGCCACATGTGGCTCTTTGGTCCCTCTGCAGCGGCTCTTTCAAGCGTTGACCAAAGCTGACATAAAACTGAATTTTATTGGTTGTTATATAACAACAACTAAAAGGGCTAGTTCAGTTTTCCTGTAATTTATTTTGCAAATATATGAATAATAGAAACATTACAAGGAGTAAAACATACTCACTTTCACTTTATGCTTTATTTCTTCAAGGTAGGATACATAATTTTTCTACAGGAAAAAAAAATCACATCAGAATGCATAGGTTATTGTTTTAGTTTTTAGAAACCGTGCAAAAAGTACATTATTTTTTCCTTCTTTACAAGAATCTTGTCTTTTATTTCGTTTTAGAATGTAAAAATATATATCAATAAATGTTAAAAAATCATGAGGGATGCTGTCAGGCTGAAGGAGTCCTATCAGGCCTTTTTGGCCTGTGGGACCCCAGAAGCAGCTGATGGGTACCGGCAGTCCAAGCGGCTTGTAGCTCGGGTGGTCACTGAGGCAAAAACTCGGGCATAGGAGGAGTTCGGAGAGTCCACGGAGTATGACGTCCATACGGCTTCGAGGCAGTTCTGGTCCACCATCCGGTGTCTCAGTGGTGGGGAAGTGATACACCACCAACACTGTTTATAGTAGGGATGGTGTGCTGCTGACGTCAACTCGGGACATCGTAGGTCAGTGGGCAGAGTACTTCGAAGACCTCCTCAATTCCACCAGTACATCTTCCACTGAGGAAGTGTGGCAAAGTGGACCGAAAAGACTTCCATCAGTCTGAGGACCTGCAACAAACTCAGTCTTATATATAGCACCTTCTCTTAGTGGGTCAACCAGTTTGATGGTGCTCAAGTGGATGAAAGACGAAATGTATCAACAAAAAGAAACTGTCCAGAGGACCTGACTTAACTTTGTTAGATTTTTCTACCTGGATTATGAAGCATGAATCAGGATATTTTGAACCACTTTTGTCATGGCTGCCTCAAATAAGTCAGTGGGGGTTAGGGTGATTACAGAAACCACCTGAGTACCATCAAACTGGTTTACCAACTATGTGAAGCTGCTATTTATAATACTGAGTTTGTTGTGGCTCCTTAGACTGATGAAATCTGTTGGATGAAAGACGAAAAATGTCAACAAAAAGAAAACTTCTAGAGGACCTGACTTATAATAACTTTTATTTAGAATGCACTTTACATGCACAGTGAATCTCAAAGTGCTACAAAGAGTGAACATCAGATAACATCAGGATAAAAGCAACCATAAAAGCAACCGAGAGGAGGAACAACCAGGAGGATAACGCCTCAGAATGAACACATCAAAAACTTACAATGCAGATAAAATACTCAAATAAGAACTAACTACTAATTTGTTAGATTTTTCTACTTGGATTATTGAGCATGAATCAGGATATTATGCAAATATGTTTAAATATTCAGATCAGCTGATTGCATTAAAACTTATTTTTGTACTTTTTATGATAAACACATTTAGTCTTCTCATTGAATAAAATAGTTTATTTGATTTGGTACAGTTCTTATCCACAGTACATAAAGTATTAACACAAAACTTATAGTTGTCCATTTTGTCTGTTTTAGTGGTCCCTGCAGATGTTCAGCAGACTCTGCTGATCAGAGTAGATGCGCCTGAGGAATGGATGTCTGGTGTGGACCAACAGGACCCAGAGCCCCTCCACATAATGGAGGAACAAGAAGAACTCTGGACCAGAGTGGACAGAGAGCAGCTTGTAGTGAAGGAGGAGACTGATGCCAGCAGGTTTTCATTCACTGCAGTTCATGTGAAGAGTGAGGATGATGAAGAGAAGCCTTTATTCTTACAGCCTCATCAGCACCAAATGGAGGACAGAGATGTTCCAACCAGCAGTTCAGCTGACCAGATGAAAGTAGAGCCTGATGGAGAAGACTGTGGAGGAGAAGGAACTAGCAGGAACCCATATCTATATCCTCATGGAGATGCTTCCTTCAATTCAGAGACTGAAGTCAGTGAGGATGATGAAGAGGAAGGGGATGGGAACAATCCTGATTCTCAGCTGGAAGTCTTGTCAGACTCTGGGTCAACAACTGAAGACAGTGACAAAGACTGGAAGGAGAGCAGAGCTCCTGAGTCAACTGTGAACTCTGTCAACAAATGTTTCAGCTGCTCTGAGTGCGGTAAACAATTTCTGCACAACCAGTCTCTTCAGAGACACTTGACATGTCATTCAACAGTAAGACGTTCCAGCTGTGTGGGTCAGAAGAAAAGTGTTGGAGAAAAGAAAAGTGTACATACACACAGGAATGTTCAGACAGAACCAAAATCATTTAGTTGGGATGAACCTGGTAAAAGATTTAAAATAATAAAAAAACTGAACTTGCACAAGAGAGACCACACAGGAGAGAAACCGTTTAAATGTAAGGATTGTGGAAATAGGTTCAACCATATGTCTAATTTAAACACACACATGAGAGGCCACAAAGGACAAAAACAATTTAAATGTGAGGTTTGTGGACAAAGATTTACACACAAGACTAAATTAAGCTCGCACATGAGAGTGCATACTGGAGAGAAACCATTTGAATGTGAGGTTTGTGGACAAAGATTTACCCACAAGACGAGTTTAAACTCGCACATAAGAGTCCACACTGGAGAAAAACCATTTGAATGTGAGTTTTGTGGACAAAGATTTAGTCACAAGACAAGTTTAAGCTTGCACAGGAGAGCCCATACAGGAGAGAAACCGTTTGAATGTGAACTTTGTGGGCATAGATTTAGCCGTAAGCCAACTTTAAACATACATATGAGAGTCCACACAGGACAAAAACCGTTTGTATGTGAGTTTTGTGGACAAAGTTTTAGCCAGAAAACGGCGTTAAATGTTCACATAAGACTCCACACAGGACAGAAACCGTTTAAATGTGAGGACTGTGGAACCAAATTTCGCCAGAAGTCGGGTTTAATCTCACACAGAAGAGTCCACACAGGACAGAAACCATTTGAATGCAATATTTGTGGACTAAGATGTAGTCAGAAATCAAGTTTAAACTCACACCTGCAAGTCCACACAAAACATAAACCATTTGAATGTAATATTTGTGGACGAAGATTTAGCCATACGTCACGTTTAAAGTCACACATGATAATCCACACAGGACAGAAACCATTTGAGTGTAATATTTGTGGACGAAGATTTAGCCAGAAGCCGAGTTTAAACTCACACATGAGAGTCCACACCGGAGAGAAACCATTTGAATGTGAAGATTGTGGACAAAGATTTAGCCAAAAGTCACGTTTAAATTCACACATGGTAGTCCACACAGGGCTGACACTGTTTGAATGTAATATTTGTGGACGAAGATTTAGCCAAAAGACGAGTTTAAACTCACACATGAGAGCCCACACAGGAGAGAAACCATTTGAATGTAAGGATTGTGGACAAAGGTTTAGCTGTAAATCAAGTTTGAACTCACATTTTACGGTCCACACAGGACATAAACCTTATGCATGTGAGGATTGTGGACAAAGATTTGTAAGGAAGGCTTATTTAAACTCGCACTCGAGAACCCACACTGGACAGAAACCATTCAAATGTGAGGACTGTGGACAGAGGTTTACCCGGAAGACGAGTTTAACCACACACATGAGAATCCACACAGGACAGAGACCTTTTGAATGTGAGCTTTGTGGGAAAGGATTCCGCGAGAAGTGTATTTTAAAAAGACACATGAATGTCCACACAGCTCAGAAACCATTTGAATGTGAGGACTGCAGACAGAAATTTAGCCGCAAGTCTAATTTAATCAGACACACCAAAGTCCATATGAAATAATTTCTTTTTTGTGACTAAGGTAAAGCTTTGGATTTCAGTCTGCTCTTAAACACACAGGAACCCACACAGGAAGGAATACAGTTTAACTCAGTAGCTCTCAAACTGGGGGTGGGGGGGGGGGGGGGGTGGGGGGTGATCAATGGTTTTTTTTCCCCAGGACAAAATGTAGCAGGTGGAACAGATGTACAACACAAACAACGCATATATCTTATTGTATATTAGTTATTTTTAGGGTCTTTCTGTATCCTGTATTGTGAGGAGTGAGAGGGCAATCTGCATATGTATCTAGTTTACGGAACACCTCAGCTTTATAACTTGAACCTCACACTTCCTGTTCTTGGAATTGATAAAGCTTCTTGGATGAGAAGCGAAATGTCTTCAGCTACAGAATCATCCAGTTATTTTTGCCTTTTAATCTTTTTTTCAGTATTATGTGTATATATAACAAGGTTTATGTGATTTATATATGTTGATCTAGTTTATATTTGGAACCATACCATGACACAACAGCATTGTTATAAATGTAATGCATTTAATAATCATAAATGTAAGTTAATTTACATTTTTGTATTAACACTGGTTGTAACACAGTCCAGAGCCCCCCCTCTCAGCCATTCTCCAGATAAGAGGTGTTATTCATCATCAGCTCAATTGAGGTTCTGTCATATGTCCACGACCTTGGGGAAGGGAGGGGTGAGGAGACGGTCAAAGCATCTTTGTTTTTTGTTTTCAAAACATGCCAGGAGAAGTTGAGACAAGTCCGGCGTCAAGGCCACAGTTTAGGGTCAGGCAGAACACGTGAATTGCTGTTTCTGCCTTTTAAAGTCTCGCTAGTATATTCCTCTGATGGAAACTCCAAACAGCCGAATTGATTACTTAAAGTCGAGCTCACAGCTTCTCCAAGATTATTCCCACTCTCTTCTGCTAGAGAGTTCAGTCCTGATAACAGCTGCTCCAACTCTGACGCAGCTGCACATAATTCAGTCGGAACGCTGTCAAGCTCGACACATCCATGAATTTGTAGACGATCCAGAATTCACCAACCCAAACAGCAAAAAAAAAAAAAACAGTTGTCATCGTGAATCCAATTTGTTTCCGTCGAGGTAAGAGGGGCCTCCTTACCCTGACTCCTGTCGGGAGAAGTTGATAAATTTTGTTGAGAGACCAGCTGATCCTTCGAATTAGGAAGGTATGCAGAAAAAATAAAAGAGGCTCTTTAAGGGTTCACAGGACGAAAGAATGCAAGATGGGGTGTGGGGGGGGACGGAGCGTCGGGGAAAACGTCTGACCACCGGAGTACAGAGCTTTTTTTAATTTAATTCCATTTTTCATTTTAAATGCTTTTTATATGGCTGTCTTTTGTTGTCTGCACCTCTTCTGTGTTCTTGTTTAAAACAGGTCTCTGTTGTGAGTCCGCGAGGCTCAATGAGACTAACTTGTATAAATAAAAGTTGAAAGAAAAAATATAACAGCCCTCATAATGTCTTATTGCCGTTATATAACTTTTGTTTCTTTATACACAATGAAAGTGGACTAAATTTGATTCTCTGTGTTTACGTGAGGAAAATTGATAATAAAGCTGATTTGACATATTAAAAAGGGTGATATAAAAAAAATGATAGACAGGTCAAAATACCTTAAAACAGACATTTTTTTTATTGCCAGACTGAACGTCCTTTGCTTAAATGACAATTTCACTAAAAGGGATTACCATAACTCTCGGGCTATAGAACGCACCTAATTATCATATGCATACTAAATTTAAGATAAATCAATTTTGTACATAAATAAGATGTTCCAGTTATTAAGCTGTGGGCATCTACCGTTCATTATCACAATCTGTGCCCAGCTTCAGCATTACAGGTCCCGGTCATGAAATTAGACTATCATGATAAAGTTGATTTATTTCAGTAATTCCATACTAAAAGTGAAACTTGTATATTATATTAATTTATTGCACACGGACTGATATATTTCAAATGTTTATTTCTTTTAATGTTGATTATAACTGAAAACTAATGAAAACCCCAAATTCAGTATCTCAGAAAATTAGAATATTACTTAAAACCAATAAAAAAAATGATTTTTAGAAATGTTGGCCAACTGAAAACTATGAACATGAAAAGTATGAACATGTATGGCACTCAATACTTAGTTGGGGCTCCTTTTGCCTGGATTCTGGGTCTTCTCAGGGTCTCCTCCCAGTTGGACATGTTCAGAAAACCCATTTCTGACTGCGGTCCATGGCCTCAGATTTTGAGGCACAGATCCTGTTAGGGAATTTTTGGTCAAAGTTTATGGATGCTTTTAACTACTATGGCTGAGAATGTTAACCCTGCCCATAAATCATATGTTTGGGTTAGTACAAAGCTGAATGTGGAGCTGGATAAAGCAGCTGCATGCAGCTGGCACTCCAAGGTCGCCTCCAAGTCTGGGAGCTTGACTGAAAATACAAAAACACTGAGTCGCAGCTGCAGTACAAGTCCTCCACATCCCTCCACTGCTGATCCCAGTAGTAGTTTTGGTGGAGGCGGCGCAGGGTCTTGGTGACACCGAAGTGCCCAGAGCCTGTGCCTCTGTGACAGGTTCACAGAACAGTTGACCTCAGTGATCTCAACATCACAACCTGCCACCTCTCCTCCCCTGTGGCAGGATCCTTCCAGGATTGCTGCAACCAAGGTCGGCCTGACGCATAAGCGGACTAAGCGGCTGCTTAGGGCCCCGGGCTACTAGGTGGCCCCCTAAGTGGAATTTATATATATATATATATATATATATATATATATATATATATATATAT